CATCTGAAACCCTACTGCATTTGTATACTCTGGAGAGAATAATGTGAAAATGAAAGGAACAGATCGCTAAGGATCATCAAAATAAAAAAATACAAATAAATTAAACAAAAGAAGTACAAGGTTGGTCAACTGAAAACCCCAAAACATTGTAGAAAATAAGTTGGATTGAAAATAAATGAGCAAATATCTCACGCTCATGTATCAACAGACTCAATATTGTTGAAGCATCAGTAATTTCTAAAGAATGAAGGAACTCTGAAGCAAAATATCAGCTAGTAATGAGAACAAAAAGAATTTAAAAGAATGGTTAATATGATCAAAGCACAGCATATATACTTATAGATATGCCACAGTGAAACCTACTTACCTGCATGGTGTGTGTTCATTGAAATTTTAAAATCATAGCTGCCTTATTAGAAGTTAAGAAACTGTTCCTGAAGTTCATTTTGAGCCTAGAATCGAAACAAACTTCAGAATAAAAAATAAAGTAAATCCAAACTTCTGACTGGAAACCCTTACTACAAAGCTTTTAAAAACATGTTTAGGATAAAGAATTTAAGGGAAATAAGGTGGGGAAATTGAAATGAAAGTAATTGGTTCTCTCTCCTCTGTCTCTCCTCTCTGTCTCCTCTCTCTCTCTCCTCTTGCCTCTCACCTGAATATTAGCCTCTTAAAATTATTTGAGTTTATAAAATTATGTATATGCAAAAATTAACCAAAATGTAAAAAATAAAAGAGTGATGGTCACATAACTGAGAACGCGATTAAGAATCTGAAAATAAATTCATACATTTATGGTCAACTGCTTTTTAAGAACGTTTGCCCATAATTTGGTAGTGGTAGTGGAAGGAATATAACCCAGGCCTGGTAAGTTAACATTACTATACCTAATAAAGAAAACTTTTGTGAGACTTTTGCATTTTATCTTGATTCCACAATTATTGGTGGGCTTGCTCAAATGAGTACAACTTTCAAAACTTCTCAAACTCCTATTTGGGGGCAAGAATGGGAAGGAAGAAAGAGGAGAAAGAGACTCCAAATTTACCTGGCATTTTCAGGGTGACAGTTTCTGGCCATCCACTTCTATTTAATTAGGTGTGCACCTTAAGTAAGCATGTAAACCAGGGCAGTTGGGGAGAAACATGATATACTTGTTCTCAAAGCAAACCTTTGTTCATGTGTACAGAGTGCCATTTAGGAAGATATCAAAATGTTTCAGGTTCGTATTTAATTATTTATTATTATAGTCGTAGAAAGAATATATGTATAATAATAAAAAGAATGAATGCTTATGTGCTATAATTAAAGAACCAACAATATTATTAACACCTTTACACAAAGCCTGGCAGAATTCAAGCTCTTTAAAGACAAGAAACTTTGGTCTGCTTTATTCATGACCCTATCCTTCAAAATCTAGAGTGGTGCCTGACATATGATAGATGTGTTATTTCTGTACAAATGCACACATCTACTTTTATCTTCCTTCTTCAGATCCTCACCCTCAACAATATTTTAGAGCTTAACATTGTCTTAAATTTAGGAGATATTATACTCTTAAATTTTGATAATATTTTTCACCTGTATTCCTAAACAATATTGTTGCTTTGGCTCTCTTTTTTGAAATTTATACAACAGAATTAAATGCATCCTGTTATTTCCTAGGTCTGTTAAATATGTGAGGGTTCAGTCATTCCTTGCCATTGCTGGCATGCATTTTATTGAATTTATATGCCATAATGTATTTCTCTTTCTCCTGTCAGTAGATATTTGACACTTATGCTTTTATAAACAAAGCTGCTATGAACACTGATGCATGTGCCTCCTGGTCACATGTGCAAATGTTTCTCTGGAGTATGCTTTGAGAAGAAGGAACTGCAGTGAGAATTTTCATTTCTATCTCCCAAAATTTAGCTCATGAGTCAGAACTACAGCATGCCCTTATGCACACTAAGATAGAATCAGTAGGAGAGTTGCTGTCCAAAATATTTTGAGAACTGAGTAGAGGAGATGTGAGAGGAGTAACTTGTCTAGTGAAATCTGCCATTACTCAAGCCTTTAGTCAAAGTGGGTGTTAGTACATAAAATTCTACATTCTAGAATTCTCTTCATTATTTTTCTCCCCTATGTTCTTGTAGTAATTTTAAGGCACCTTTTATTTGGCTCATATCTACTCAACAAAATTATGATTGTTTAACCTTCTTTTGAATATAAATATGGTTAGATTATTTAAACAATAACTGTTGCTTAAATGATATGGATGAAAATGTATATTTATTTAATAATATAATACCCTCATAACAAAATTGACATGTGTAGTGCTATATTATCTCTAGATAGAATTGCATAGCACAGTTTTCATACTTACTTTGTTTTAAAATGACACTTTATACCTACTGAATAGGTATAAACATGAGGATGTTTTTTCATGACAGTCTTGGCTGTCCTGGAACTCACTTTGTAGACCAGGTTGGCCTGGAACTCACAGAGATCCACCTGCCTCTGTGTCTTGGGATTAAAGGCCTGTACCACTATGCCTGGCTTCAACTCTGTTTTCTTGCTATCTTTTTTAAAAAGACAACTTTACTTATCTATTTGTGGTATTTTCTACATTATTAACTTGACATGTAATTTGTGCCTAAAAAAGATATTATTGTTGTCATTTATACTCTTATCTTTTAAAAATAATACTGTGTTTCGTCTATATTCTTACATGTAACAGTCAGAAATCATTATTTACTACTTTATACTACTTTTCTTTGCATCTTGAATTTCTGCTCTAGTAAATGGTGAGCTGCAAAAGGGTAAGAATATACACTAATCACCACTATGTCTCTAGATTTAGCCTAGTGACTCATCCATCTGCCAGTTGATCTAATCTACCTATTTCCAAATTCCAACCATATTACAGTTTGTCAGTTATACATCATAATTTGTAAATAATTAAGAATCTTCTTCTTGGATTTGAACTTAGCAGATATGTAATCTTACGATTTCTGTTTACTATATGTAGAGGTTTGCAAAAAAATGTGCTTAATTAATCTAAGCATCATAATTTTGGGAGGGATATAATATGAGATGATATATGTATGATATGGCCTAGCATGTTTACTACATCCATACATGTATTTATTTTATTTGATTTTATTCGTGTTAGTCATAGAGGATTTAAAGAAGGTAGAAAGCAGAGGAAGAAAGTTATGAAAATTTTCCTCTGCTTATTTCTGGACTGAGAAGGGAGGAACAATATTTACCTAAGTGAATGACATTTTAACCAAAACAGTGAGTGATGTTCTTTGTGCTTGGCTGAGTTGTATATTTGAAATGGGCTCTTTTCCTATGAAACACATGGCTCTGGTATGCTTGATTCTGTTTACCTTCTCATAGTGGCATGAAATTGGGGCTTTTGAAAGAGAAAACTGGCCACTACAGCTAGTTGTTGGATTTTCATATTTATAGAACAAATATTTTAAATTTGTTCCGTGTACTCAGGTCTTGAAGAAAGGTAAGTATTCCTGTCCTGGAGACTTACAAAGTTCAGACTAAATTGTCTTTGTTTATGCCTTGCCAGGGCTGCTCATTTGGAGTGGGAGAAAGAAGAACTTTGAATACTTTTCTGGATTAAAAGGACTATGCTAAACATGAAAACAAAGAGCCATTAGTAGAAAGAGTGGTGAAAAGAATTTTGAGAAAGAAAAACTACTTTGAATTTAGAATAAGATATATGTGCCTTGCTTTCAAATCATTTTAACCTTGTCATTTATTACCCGTCCTTGTTTCCACTGTATAATAGCTGTACTAATGAGAGAATAACCTTGCTTTGTTCCGTTGTTGTGGGGTGATGAAACCACTAAGCACAAGAAATAGACTCCAATTATGGCTTATTTTTCTTATTACTTTTTGGTAGAGAAGAACTGATAAACATGGAATTTGTAGTCCTATGGTGCAAAGTGTGAAAAATTGTCATCTATCTAAGACAGATTAATATAGGTGGTCACTTACATTTTGTTTACATTTTGACATAGGACATAGAACAGACGAAATCTGAAGTTTAGTTAGCAAAAAGCTTATTCTAATTGTACAAGTGAATTCATTACTGAGAGAGATGAAAACTAACATATAGTGAAGAGTTTAGAAATACTTTTCTGTCCCTTTTCCTTCGCGTCTATCTGGAAGAATTTAAACACAGATCTTGGAGATAAGCGGTTAGACTAGTTTAGGTAAGAGCTTAGACGTCTAAAGTGTGATCTTCATTCAGGGAACCTATAAGTCTTATAAAGGTCAGCAGTTTTGGCAGCATCATTTCTCAGTCTAAGTCTCTGGCACAGAGATTCTGTTACTTTTTGTTACAGAGCAGGGCCAGAGACCTGCCCATGTGATACAGAGAGGCTCAAAAGTAAGACAAAGGAATCAATTTAAGAGTGCAATGAAAACTAATTTATCTTTCACTTGTATATTAATATCAAAAGTAACTCACACAGTTGATTCATGTTGTCACAGCAATATCTCAGTACTACCAGTGACAGTATTTCCCTTTTACATGTAAGACTCCAAAAGCTCACATACATAAAATCCATCTGGCATTTTACATGGTTTGATCATAGGCCTCCCTTTGGCAGAAGTAAGGCATAGTGTTAGGTTCATGCCATTTAGTGACTGAAAATGATGCGTGAGCATTGCATTAAGTTACTACCTTAGCCTCAGTTTTCCTGCATTCTTCCTTACCTTATAAATGCAGAGCCCATGAGATTGACTACTCCATGAGATCTTGTTTAATCCCTTGGCAGGATCCAAAGTGCTCTGCCAATACCACAGAAAACCTTACAAACAGCATGATCAGGTAATCTTTCCAAACAGCTCAGCTTCACACTGATTCGCTGGAGCAATACATAGAATAATCATTTATGTGTACAGTTTCTCAGAGAACCATAGATTTCTGATAGATTTCTGCCACCCACTGACATGTGCTGCTTTGTTTTGTGTGTGTGTGTGTGTCTTTTCAGTTTGGACAGTGCCAGGGACCACGTTTTACCCATCGACTATTACTTTCCACCCCAGAAGACCTGCCTGATCTGTGGCGATGAAGCTTCTGGCTGTCACTATGGAGCTCTCACTTGTGGCAGCTGCAAAGTCTTCTTCAAAAGAGCCGCTGAAGGTAAAAAGGTCTTACCTATTTCCTTATATTTCCCTTTTCTTTTGCCTCCCAGAGAGGGACAACAACATTTCAAGCTCTTCGGATAATCCCAGGGACTGAGTCATTAGCAAGGGCCCTGGCATAGAAGCTATAAGATTAAAGAAGTAAATGGGTATATTTGCTGAGCTCCTTTGGCGGCCCTGGTTGTACAAGTAACGTTGGGGATAAAGGTGGTCCCAGCTGGTGCTTGGTGTTCGGTGGATCCAAGGAATGAAAGCAAAATTAATGATTTGAAAAATTAAATTTCCTTCCTGCTTGTTTTCAACTCTGCTGCATAGTGAGGGGGGAAAATGTCCTTATTAGAGAGGTTAGAAGTGGAGAAACCCCAACTGAGTCCACAGGCTGTTCTATGTGGTGAATACGAGCCTGTTCCTTAGCAAAAGCTTCCTGGCTTTAACCCCAGAAAGGAAGTGTTCTCACTGTTCGGGAGACCATCAGTGTCTGCACCTGCTCCCTCCGGCTTGCTGCTTCTTTGGGACCTATCTTTGCAATAACAGCTACAAGGTAGATAAAATCTCAGGGGGAAGCAAGAGTTCTATTCTCCTCATCAGAGAACTGCCTACAGGGCATCACATTTGCTCTAGAATCCCAGCATAAGTTACATTTTATATGCAGCTAAGTGAGATGAAGCCTAGTTGTTATCTGTATAGATTTTAGATAAGCTAGCCAACATAATCTGGCAGAAAATCCCATTCTAGACCTTTAATGTAATCTATTGAATCTTGTCTCCTTAATCATCAGGGGCTAACTCTTCGATTCATACACTCTACTACCCTCTCTCTGTCTGAAACTCCTGTTTCATAGAGACACAGGGAATCTGCCCCTATATGGTCTAAATGTGACACCAGGCCCAGTTTTAAATACCAATTTACACTCCTGTCTTGGCTTCTTGCCAATGAATTTTCCTGCCTTCTGCATGGTCTGGAAGAGTTGGATTCTAAGTCAGAACATAAACCAAGAGCCTTTCCTCTTGCAAAAGAACCATCTGGAAGGAAATGCCTTTTACTGAGGACTAGACTGAGCACAACAGAAGCACCAGTGAATATTTGACAACAGGAGAAAAGTTAGAATGTAGGTACCTTTACACTGCTCTCCTCACTGATGGCCGATCTTAATAATGATTTAAGTTGCAACGTTTAGTAGGTGGAAGAAATACATTCAAAACCATAAAGTTATCATTTTATTTTCTTCCATATCCCAGAAATATAAGGAAGTGACTAGCATACGGAACTGGGCTGCCTGTTTTACCTTTATTCCAACATGGAGCACTTCTGCTGTTCATGATAGCATGAGATCCAAGCTCCTTGGACATAAGCTTACACATTTGGAAAGAGCCTTAAAGCAGGGCCTTCCTTTCTGAACAGTACTTATAAAAGGACAGCTATCAGAAAAGGAAATGGAAACGCGTTCCAAGAACTTCAAATCACTTCAGCTTCTCCAGTGAACACCCCTGCTTCCTAATACATTGTCACAGACCACACTGTTTTTGCAGCATGAAATGAAGCAGAGTGACATTCTAAAGCTACGATGGCAGCAGGCCTGGCACTACTGTAGTAGCTACACCAGATGGAAAATGAGTTGAAGTGAGCAAATGAACACTCACTAGATTAGATTATATCATGGCCAGTGCTAAGTTTGTGTCTTAGAATTCTAAGTGACTACATGATAGCTTTAGGGGAACAAGAGAAAGATCATCTATATTGCAAAAGGGAAGCATTTTTAGCCCATACTATACTACCCTACATGACAGTTTTCTGGAGAATTTAGAAATAAAGGAAGGAAGAAGGCAAAATGGCAGCTACCAAATACCATAAATAAATAAATAAATAAATAAATAAATAAATAAATAAATAAATGACCACTTGGATTGAATATTCTATCTCACCATTCCATTTCCTCTTATGTTCCTGCTACTTGATTTCAAATTCATGATTTCTTCCTCTGGAATTATTATTAATACACACACACACACACACACACACACACACACACACACACACATATATATATATATACACATCCTGCTGCGTTCACATAGTATTGCTCATTTGTATATTTGTTTACAGCTAACCACTTAAGATTGGATAACCTATCAGGTAGCTAGTCCCAGTGAAAAATTAATCTTCTTCTCTTAGTAGACACTAATTTATCTTGGGGGCAGGCTGGCCTTATGAGATTTATCAAATCCACATTGATATGGCAACTGGTGTTGCCACCGTGTTGGTCTTGATGAGACAACCATATTGTTGAGATTTCGTGAGTGTGACTTCCCTGTCAAATATAGAAGACATTATCTCACAGAAGATGTCCTGGCCCTGTGGCTTTTACTAACTGTTTACTCCCTCTTCCATGTTCACTGAGGCTTGGGTGCAAGAGTTTTGTCACAGATGGGTCAACTGAGGCTGGGCATGCCAAGATAAGTTGATCTCTGCATTTTGACCAGTAGTGACTTTCTGTAATGATCTCACTCTACTGCAAAAGACTGTTTTTTTTTTAATTTTATTTAATAAGGAGTGAGAGTTACACTAATAAATGGGTAAAGAGGTATGTATTTAGAACACAATTAGAAATTATAATGGTTTTAAAATTAGTAGATTCTGCTCTAGAGTCCATAACTTCACTAGCCACAATGATTGGCCAAGTTTGCAGTACCAGGCATAAATTCCTCCTTGAGTCTAGTTTGATGGCTATCGATTACCCCTTCCCATAATACATATCATTATTACACCCTTAAGGATATCTTTCTTTGCTGGTCATTGTTGTCTCTCAAAATCTTTACAGCTGGATAGGACTATTGATTGCTTCCTCCCCTGGCAGCGTACATAGCTAGATCCTTTAGATACTCTGAAAGGTATTTCTCTATGAAGAGGCTTTCAGGTCACTAGCAACTCAATTCTTCCAAGTTCTGTGTCCTGTGTGTGTGGTGTCTTTAGCAATAGGGACATCACTTCAACTTCTGGGAGGGAGCAAAGGGCAAAGACAATAGCCTATATTATTTTGAGAATTGTTTGAACTCTTCTGACCAACAACTCAAAGGAAGGATTCCCATGCCTAGACTGAGGATTCTGTTAGATAGTCTATTGCAACTTCATATGTCTTATAGAGCCACAAAAAGCAAATTTTCTGGGCATTTTGATTACTTTGGAATATGTGCCTCAGCTTTCAAGTCTCAGGCTTTTGAAAGATTCTAGAAAGGTATGTTAGGGGTAAACAAAGTAAAACAATTATTGCCATCACAGCACTCAAGAGGCTGACGCTAGTTGATTTATAAGTTTGAGGCCAGTTTTGTCTACACAGTGAGTTCCAGGCAATCCAAGAATACCTAGTGAGGCTCTATTTCAAAAAGATATTATTACTAATAATTATCATTGCTGGTGTTTCTTCTCCTACCTAGAAAAGATAGGTGGCTTGAGTTCACTAGCATTATTAACTCTATTTGAAAGCAGGGGACTGTATTATTACACCCAAAATAAAATGTATTGATTTTTTAAATATTTAATATATATCTATAGTATCTATGTGAAGTGTTGAAATGTGGAATTCTATCTGCCATGGAATGAGTATGGTCATAAATACTCCTCTTCCTCATTAATTGTCAGTTAACTCAGACTAAGTATTCAACGTGTTGACTATCACTTTATCCACATTTTTTTCAAATATCTCTGGACTGGGCACAGGTACAAGAGTTAAAAGCCAGGCATGTGAGACAAAAATTAATTTCTAGCTTTGGTGGTTCATAAAGTATGGCGTTTTAAAGCTGTCACTGGTAGGGGGCTCTGCACAGAGCCGATTGTGATCTGACCAGGATTTATTTTTGGAAAGAAAGAGAAGGGTGAGGCCCAAATTTTCTCATTGCTGTTAATGCTGAGGGTAAGCGAGAGTCCAGCTGAGCAGGGAAGGTTGTACATATTCTTGAAAGTATATACCCTGGAGGTAAAATCAGTAATGTCTAATTAGGGAAAACAGTGAAATAGTGAAGGTCATGTGGGTACGAAAACGGGAGTGGATATGTTTTGGGATCTGTGAGTTTGAAATAGCCGTGAAAAGAAAGTGTGTTTGTAGATAGATGAGGTAACTATGAAAGTGAAAGCATATTGAGTACTTAAGAGACCAGGAAGGTTCTGTCTGTATATAGAGTTCAAAAGACTTAGTTAGGTAGATAAGAAATTCCCCATGTAGGCTTTAGTTTTCTGTTTGTAGAATAGATATTTTATAAATGCCCCTCTAGGGGTTGAAGAGAGGGCACAATTGAGATCTTATGTCTTTTCTCAAAGATGCAAATTCAGTTCCCAGCACACATGTCTGGTGGATCACTACTACCTATAAATCCAGCACTAGAAGATCCAGCACCTTCTTCTGGACTCATGGCTGCATTCACTCATGTATAACTAATCCCCCCCACACACACATACATATACACAAGTAAAAATAAGTTTTTCAATAAATAAATGTCCTCCCAGCTTAGAATTTTGTTATTTTGTTTCAATTCCACAATTTATAAACACTACTATTGTTCCAGCAAACACAGATGCATTTTATACCTGTATGTGCTTGGAGTTTAACTTTCTAGCAGATGGTAAACTCTAGACCCGGATCAATAAAAACTCAATCTTCAAACAGGGCCAGAAAGAGCTAGGAGAGTACATGTGGGAAGGCTGCAGTAACAATCCAGGACTGAGATTCTCCTTCGTGACCATGGCTGAGTAGCTTCCTTTCGTTTCCATTTCTCATGTGGAAAGTGAGGATATGAATCCCCGTTTCTATTATCATGTTTCAAAGAGGGTTAATTAATTCATTATGCACATTATGTACTTGAGAATTTACTATTTTTCAGACATTTTCTAGTAAAACATTTGAGACTCCACATCCATTTGTTTTGTACACATGGAGCACTGTTTGGTACACATCATAAAATTGAAACTATAGTTTACATTCTGAACTCAAGGAATTACACCATCCTC